TCCAATTTAAGGACTAATTCCTATCGCAATTTAGGGCGTATTTCGGAAATCTAGATAGAGTCGGTCTTAGCTAGCAAATCGTCTTCGAGGGTCTTTAAATAGGCCTTAAATAAGCGAGCCGATTAATTAGTCTTTTATTTAGCTCGAAGGTATTAGTCCTAAGCGTGTTGTTGCCTTAGTATAGGGTTTCTAAGGGTGTCTAGCATAATAGTCTTATAGTTTTGCCACTAAACAGCGGTCTGATTAGTAAGGGAGTCAAAGTAGTTATCCTAGGTACGCTTTAGGTCTCTATTAATGTATTGTATAGTATAGACGACTAGCGAATAGTCGTCTAGTAGGGCCCTTAGTACATTTCGTTAGTTAAGCTTACAGTTACGAATATAGTCGTTATATTGCTTTCGACTAGAGCTATTAAATACGGTACAGTCCTTGAGTTTAGTATCCTTCTTCTAGACTAGGACTAATAGTAAGGAAGGCCCTACTATCGGCTTAGTGTTAGTTATTAGGGCCTCCTAAAGGCGGCGAATTTCGAGGAGGTTATCCTTTAGCTATTGTTCTTAACGTAGGGCAGTAAGCCTGTTTTAGGTAGCTTCTTAGAGTCTCCCTACTAGTTAGGGGCTAAAGGCTAGTTAGCTATATCGACGGTTAACAATATTGTTAAGAATATCGTCGATAGGCAATTCTAGATTATTACCTAGAACTATAGGTTCTTCTTTAACAGGCTCTCCGGTAGGCTCTTTAGTAGGAGGCACTTTAGCAGGCACTGTGCTACTAGCGTTGTCGTTGCTAGCGCTGCTAGCGGCAGCACGGTTGTTGTTTCGTAATAAACTAGCTATTATAAGGGGCGACACTAATAATGTATTATTAGCCCCTAAGATACGGATATAGCGGAATTAGTAGATATCGGCTTAGTATACTTAACTTAGTATAATAGGCCGTATAGAAGGCCTTGCTTAATGATTAGTACGGTTGTTTCGATAGAATAGTACGTATAGGTCCCGTTCTTCGGGCGCAATATAGTTAGATTAGTCTTATTCGTAGCTATACCGCTAAAAGCTTGAAATAAGGACTATCTAGCTGCTACCCTTAAAGGGTAGATCGAATACTATATAAGAAGGGTATGTTAGCAGGTAGATAGGGTAGTAGTAGGTACGAGTAGTATTCGATAAGGATCTAGAAGGAGAGGGAGGAAGGTAGGAGAGTTAGCCTAACGCTAAGCGCTAAGCCCTACCTAAGGCATCGAGACCCTAGCTTTACTCGGCCTAGTTATATACTAATTACGTGTAGCCTCTTTAGCCCTAATAACTAGCATACTATAGATACGACAATAAGCTACATACGAGATAAGGATTACGAACGAGCGGCTAGGCGACTAAATAGTTAGATAATAGACGACTCGAAAGACGAAGCCGCTAATAACCTGCCTAGTAACGAGCGAGTTAGACGAGAGATAAGAGGTATAAGAACACATAGTAACCGCTAGTTAACCGCTAGTAAGCCTAGTAAGTTAATAGCTCGTAGATAACGTACTAAGCAATAACGAGGTCGAAGAGATAGTAACTAGCGTAGCTAGGCTTTCCGATATAGTCGTAGAAGGCGGTAATTATATAGCATATCTATAGTAACAACTCTTAGTGTCTATAATAGTCTCTTCTATAGTAACAACTCTTGGTGTCTATAATAGTCTCTTCTACTACAAAATTGCTGCTTCTATAATAGTTAAATAGCCGCTTTACCGATAGGCTCGAGAGAGGCGCCCTTCTTAACCCAATTCGTTACTACGCCGAGCGGTTCTAAACGCTACTAAACTAGAGGATTGCGGGTGGCTTATTGCCTAGTAATTACTAGTAAAACGCTATGCTTATAACTCCATTTAGGTTTGACTAAAACTCCTAACATATACGACAAATCTAAGGATAGCGCGCGCATATATATACTATTCTACAAGTCGACGAGCTCTAATTTGCACGTTAATGAGTATCGAAGTCTATCGAGCAGATCGAAACAAGAAAGACGGCAGCAGATAGAAGCAATAAACAACAAAACAGGTTCTAATAAAGACTTGCCTTAACTTACTCCGCCGAGTCCGCTCTAGGGAAATGCGGAAATAATAGCGGAGGCGTCGCGTACGGATAGAGATCTGCTTAGAATACAGTACAGAGGTACTACTGTGCGTTGCTACCGTACTACGTTTAGTTAATAACAAGTTATTATTAGACTAATAAGAACTGTATTATCTTAGAGTTGTAGTAGGAGGACATCCTAGGCTAATTACACACATGTTTCCTCTACATCTATGTACGGCATTACTATTAAAGGTAGGGTTAATGCTAATAGATGACAGTCATTTAAGCTAAGCCTAATCCGGATATTTTATGCACCTGTAGGAAGTCCTATAATAGCAGCTACTATAAGTGAATATATAGGGGCGATATTTTAGGGACCCTAAGGGTTAGGCGCTATCTCGGCGTTCTGCCCCTATACTTCACCGAATTAATATACACTATATAGCGATGCAAATGTATTAATTCTTGCACTAAAAAAATCGCAGTATCGAGTTCTATAATTCTAAAATTAGCCGCAATATATTATAATAGAATGTGGTAATGAAATATCGTATTGTTTAGTAGTAACTAATTAGCTTTATACTGCTAAGCCTGCCTCGGCAAAGCCCGTCTAACCTCCGAAGCTCCGCCGAGAGGACGGAATTAGGAAAGCTAATAGCCCTCTATACGCATAACATACTAACTACACTATATATAGATATACTAAATAGCGCAAATGAAAGGTCTTAATGTATATAATAAGCGTGTAAAGTATGAAGATAAAGTATAATAAAATGGTAGTAGTGCAATGCCCTAAATATATACTAAAAAGCCCGCTTCCTAAATCCGTATTCTAACTAAACCCTAACTCGCGAGTGCACTTAATCGACCGAGATACGTCGATTAGACACACTTTCAACTATTGATAGGTGTTTCTCGGCTTCTAATTAGCTAGTTAGATTATAGCTGCAATCGATATACGCTCGTTAGACAGCAGGTTCTCGTTTGGCTGTTTATATAGACCGATAGTAACGAGTGCTTCTTCGAGCGCTTTAATAGCCTCTTCTAGTGTCTCTTCCTTACGTAGGTAGTGTAGTATACGCTTATTGATATAGATATACTGTAGCTTATTTACTTTAGCGGGTACTAGTCGGTTACAGGTGTCCGTATAAATAAGATTTAGTACCGAGAATAAGCGCTCGGAAGGCACTAAAGACGCTACTATACGAGCGAGGCGGATAGCTATTAGTACGAGTGTTGTAGCCTTACTCTGAATGAATTGCTAGAAGGTTGCTAGATCGTTTATATATATCTAGCACTTAGCATCCTTATAGAAGGGCCCTTCGCGGTTATAGAAGGCATTAAACTCGCTTATAGCTCGCTAGAGCCTGCCCTCTTATACCCTACGTTAAATGAACTTATGTAGGGTAATACGCTATTGTAACTCGGTCTAGTATAGAATAGGGTCCTTCGTAACCGATAAGCCTAGATCTAGTAGATAAGCAACAACGTAATAGTTAGCAACCTACTAGTTAATCTATGCCTTTAGTTTAGTCTCTAAGTAGAAGAAGTGCTCCTTTATAAAGTTACTAGCTTTAGTAGCGGCCTTCTAGGCGGCCTTAATCTTCTACTAGTAAGGAATAACATACCGAATAAAGTACTAGTTAGACTCGGCTATTTTGATACACTCGCTAACCGGTTAAATAACCTCTTTAACTATATTAAGCTTAGTCTAGAAGCTTGGATTCTATACAATATCTCTAACCTTCTTTATTAGCTTGCTAGTCTTATCCTTCTTATCCCTAATAGTAGGAGGGTTGAAATTTATAAGGGTAGGCTTAGCCTTGCGGACGCTCTTTAATAAGGCTAGTTAAGTGCCCTAACGAGTAATTACTAACAAGACAAAGGCGACTGTCTTGCTAATAGTCTCTCGTATATACTAGCGAAGAACACTAAGCTATAGAGGCGACCGTAAGAAGGCAGATACAATAAGCTACGCTATGCCGAGGACCTTCGTAAAGAAGGGGATTCTCTTAAAGATATCTTTAAGGGATAACTAGAGAGAGTGTGCTTAATAAGGTACGTAGAATAGGTGTGAATACGGCTCGTACGTAGCAATATTGCTCTAAGTTGCCCGTATTATCGTATAGGTATCCGTTATAATAGCATTTAGTCGCTTATAGAAGTCCGGATAGCGCAGCTTAATCTTGTCTACTTATCGCCTAAACTAGTAAGCGCACTATATTATAGTAAGGTTGTCGTTCCTAATAACCTCCGAGGATAAGAAGAAGGCGCTATAATATAGTACGTAAGTATAGAGGTTAATAACACGTTCTTTGTTAACGTTAGCGCTCTTATTAAAGATAAGGTTAATGTATCGCTAGTTAAAGATAATCGGGTCTACCTTTAACTATATATCCTTATAAACCTTATTTAAAAGGTAGTCTGTAACGTTCTGTCTGCTAGGCACAGTATAGGCGTTATTAAGTAAGTTAAAGGCGTCCTTAAACTATAGTAAATTAAACACTTTAAAGGACAGGCTACTTATAACAATGCCCTTCGAGAACTTCCGTTATATAAGCTTTATACCTTCTAGACCGATTGCTAGTATTTGAATCTCGCGTTGCTTAATCCGCTACTTAATCTTATAGTAGTTAAGGCTAAGACTAAGTAGATAGGCCTTACAGACCTCTAGGTGGTGTTGCTAACGTGTTATATACGCTGCTCTCTCTTTCCCGTAGTAGTTATAGCGGCTCTATTCGGTGTTCTTACTAGTAGGCTTCTAGTGCTTAAAATAGACCGAAATATCGAGGTTTTCGGGGCGTCCGCGCTTGAGGGAGGAAGATATAATATAATAGAGTAGATTGCGCGTATAGAAGTGTATATAATCGCGTTGTAGTAGTAGTTATAGACGCGTAGAGAGATTAGAAAGGAATCGTAGAAGTTGGGTTAGGAATGCTTAGTCATATTTCCTGCAGTTATTTATGCATCACGTGATGAATAAATAACATGTCATAATATGGAATGCCGTCATTTAATCATCCCTAGTTGAAGGTTTGGTCTAAATAAGTCCGTCGGCAAAGTCCCCTCTGACAGTGCTGAGATGGCGAGAGCGATAGCACACCGGTATTCTGCTAGAGCTCTTCCCAGCTGCTGAAGTTCAGCACACATGGCCTTCATCAGTCGGCAAGTGGAGGAACGGAAAAATGAGCTCGATCGATCACATACCCAACCGAAGGAGCCAATAAATGATCGTTCCACGGATCGCGACTTTCAGTTCCAACATGACTGTGCTGTGAACAGTGCACCGGCTCCGAAGCATCCAGCCCAGCCCAGCCACTCGAGAATTTCGCCATACGATCCCGCCCGTGGGGTCTCACGCCGCACAGGAGTGTGTTGCAAGCAAGCTCAAACTCAGTCGACTTCCCGCTCAATCATCTACACTGCGATTAAGCGAGATGGCGGACGGCGGTGATCCCTAAAACGGGATCTACTAGTCAAAGCTAGCGTACTGCCTAAAGGAATTATCCGTACCTTTAAAAAGGTTCACGTCTAACGTTTTCAAGCTAGCTGCCGTCTACGGGGATTACCCCCGTCCGCCATCTCGCTTAATCGCAGTGTATGATCTGCCGTGGGTAGCAAGCGGTTAAACGTTATTTACCGCGGGGAATGTAGGGCCGTCGTAGCGCTTCTCTTCTCTCACTCCGGCCACAGATACCGGTCATCATCATGTGGACTTTCGGAAGCAACGTCAAGAAGAGAAGTGCCGGAAGCAACGAGCGCAAAATGCGGGGCGAGGCGTGTTATCACGAGGACACAACAAGTGAGACTGATGACATGCCCAATGCTGCCATCTTCTGGCTGGCATGTGCTGTCTTCAAGTTCCACGATCATGGCATGGAGGCGGTGCCTGAACGGCGCGGCCGGACCGAAACGTGGCAATGGCAGGCTTTGATATTCCGGGATGCGTATACGAATGCAAGGGAAACACACGTCGACTTGCCTTCTCACGATGATGATGATGATCCTATTTCGTAGACCGAGTCAGCTTGGAGCAGGTATTGATCGTGGTGCCAATTGTCTTGGCCCCAAATCTAATATTTTCTTACTCCTGACAAACTCGTAATGTAATGAGCCAGGGCTTGAGTCATCACGAACGGTGTAGGTGCTTCGCTGTCCGGCCGATGGAAACCGAACAGTCCATCCCAGCTGACTTGATGGCGAAGAAAGTATGCAGCTCGGTATGTAATTAACGCTCGGTATGTAATTAACGCTCGGTATGCCGAAGAGCATGAAAGCATGTCCATGCGAATTCAAGATCCGCGACTGTTCAGATGACCTAACGTAGCTTTTTCATCATGACTGGGGCTTCGCGGGAGATGAGCCGGAGGAAGAAGGTTGTTACTGCGAAGGTTTTGTTACATGCGTCCGCCCGAACAACCATGACAGGGAAGTTGGGCTGCGATGCAAGCGATGCGAGTCGTATGGGCATTTCTGACTCGATGAACCGTGTCAACGAATAGATGCAACCATCGTTCACTCTCATTATCAGGCACATCGCAGACTTCTGATGCACCAGCGCGAAAGTCACTTCTTTCTACTGGATCGATGCAGTCTCGAGGAGGTGAGAGTTCTTGGGCGATCTCGATATTAATATAGCTGGCTGTCAGAGTATGGAGAAGGCGTGTCGCTCCGAAAGCAAGATTGATAACCTTGATCCAACCAGTCTGAAGCTGAAACACTGAAAACGCTGTGCATCGCGCAAAGTAGTCAAGATCGAAATGATTAGATGTGCATAGCAATCTTCTTGACTTCACCTCGTTGCTCCTGACAATGTCACAACAACAAGTTTCGTGTTGACCGAACAGCCTTTGGTGCAATTTTTGCTATAGCACACTGGTCAGTGGTATGCATGGGAGTCCAGGTGGTGTATGCGCTGTCGTCGACTGTTTCAGACAGCACAGCACACTCATCACATGAGCAGGCGCGTGGTGACCCACGAGCGCCGGTACTGCAAGAGATGGGAGATCCTCCAAGTGGTTTCCATTCTCCACGGGATTCCTACTCTTCACGGGATGGCGCCCGCCTCCTCCTCACTCAGTTGCAATTAGGATTTCCGCCGTTCGCACCGTCCTCAAAAGGCACTGATCACGCGAGGTTGTTGGTGTTGGTGGTGCAACCGGAGGTCCGGTCACGTTAACGATCACGTGGCCAAGCAGTTTTCCAAATTCATAGCGCCACGGAGCGCTCTCTCGTTCGGCGTAAATAATAAAACAACAATGGCCTCGGCTTCCGATGGATGGCTGGGCGCCATAACAAGACCAGCGTGATGAGTAGCGCCCACCGACCGTGAAGAGGCCGACACCAGCGACACAAAGAAGGCGCAGAACCAAAACTTGGCAGTGGTTTTTCTTTCCGGACCGCTGGAGTCCAGAGTCCAGACCTAGAAATCCGAAAATCTTCGAATGCGCCGAAGCCTACTGGCGGCATTCTTTTCCTTCTAGCGGCCACTGTAAAAAAAAATTCACATGCCATGTTCCATTTTTTTATTTCGCTTCTCCACTCGTCGATCTCCGACTTCTCCCTAGTTAAGCCCTGTGACCACTTGCGGGGCGGTGTAGTAAGAAACTCAAGAATCGTTGAGAACACGCGCAGGAGAGCTGGAGCTGGAGCTGGAGCTGTGGCGCAACCATCAATCATCAGGAGATTTGCAGTTTGTGTGGAATAAAATGAAAAAGGAAGGTGAGGAAGTCGACGGAGAGTTCAATAATGAAATAAATGCAATGATGCATGAATGAATGTGTGATACCTTCCTTCACATTTCCGCAATGAAGACGTCTCAGAAAGTGCGGACGCGTCAAAGAGGAAGTCGGGAAGTGAAGACGGCAATTACGGTAGGGCCAGCTCGCGTAGCTCATTATTATTGTCGGTGTGCTTCTGCTGCACGGTGAAGATCCCGGCCAGTGGCAAGCAGGTCTTTGTAAAAGACTCCATGCACGGCATGCAGCAGCGCTCAACGCCTGCATCAAAAGACACAGCTGTGTAATGGCGGTCTGCTCACATGATAGCGGCCGAGATGTCAGCACAATATGCAGTACTCAGGGTTGGGAAAGATACATGTCGACAATAATGCAGTCAGAATGTCATGTGTAAAGTGAGTGCACATGAGAAGTCAGGATGAACGTGAGACAGATCGTCCGCAGGTCAAAAAGGCTGTCGTTTTTTACTACTTGGGATGAAGCACGCAAAAGCCTCCTTTTCTCCACGAGGCCCACCACCTCCACGCATTCCATCAGTAATATCGCCTTTGGGCAAAAGTACCCGTCCCCCCTGCAGACCAGGTCATCCTCCGTAGTAGCAGTTGCTGAAGTGTAATGGTACAAGTGTAATGTACAAGCCATAGAGTCGCCGAGCGCATAATCGCTCATCAGACTGCATTAGTTTTGGCTGCGCTGCAATGGTATTGTGAAGCAGAAACGTTGCGGCCGTCGTCAAGTATCTGTAGAATGCCGATGCTGGTATCATTGTGAATTTCAAAAGTCCCTCTCCCTTCCCTTTTTCCTTGCCATGAATTGCCCATATATCAATATAGGTACTTTCCGATAGCCCAACCCTGTCCGTGAGGATATTGGTTACCTGTAAACGCCATGTCGTAGTGTGCTAAAAGTCATGTTCCGGTTCGCTGAAACGCAAGATCGAAGCAAGTCGAACAATTGTCATATTACCAGCCCTTCGCGTGGTATTCTCCCAGGCCTTGATGGAAATAGTCATTGTTGAATTTCTTCTTTCCGTCCTTGTGGGACAGAATGGGCCCGGGTTCTGGGTGTTGTTTGAGTGTTTTCACATCCGTGGATGTGTGCCGTCGCTTGAGCGTGGTCAAGTTTCCACTACTCCTGTGTTGGCGCTCCCATAGAAGGTTCTTTCTGAGACTCTCGGTAAGTTCGCTGCTGAGCATGTTCCGTCGAGTTGTGCGGGGAGACATGGCCAGATTCTGGTGTGTGTTGGATGTGGTCATTATGATTGGTTTTGACCTTGGTATTTCCAGTTGCACGGGTGGTGCAAGCGAGCCAGTCTCTGGTGAGGTGGCCACAGATGGTCCGTTGGGGGTCGTCGTCCTTGATCTCCTGATCGCTGGAGTTGAGCGCGATGCGGCGTTGGAAAGCGCCTTCGCTCGGTCGGGCTCATGCATCAGTGTAGTGAGTAGTGATCGTCGTGATGTAAGATTCGGTCGCGAGTCCACTCGTTGGAAGAGATCTTTCTCGTTCACAGATGACGGGCCGCTGGCATCATCGGAGTCTTCCCAGTCAGATGAATCGTCGTCATCTTCAATGGCACTTTCGGACACGTCCTCGTCCTCGTCGTCAGTTTCGAAGACCGGACTGTTCCGTACGGCGGCCGCCGCCGCTTTGCTGACTGCGACTTCATCCTTGAATGAAGTTTGCTTTTTGCTACAGTCGCTACGAAGACTGCTTTTGTTACGTAGGCTATCTGAGAGGACGCTTCTGTGCATGTGCGAGTCCAGGGAAGACTCATCCTCGCCAGAGGAGGTCCCGATGGTAAACATGGCCCCTTTCTTCTTCGGCGGAGCTGGCCGGTACTGTGGCGATGTTTTGAGGATAGGAGTCGGTTGTGAGGCAAGGTTGGTCTGCGATCGGTACGATGATGGTGCTCCTCCCGGCACAAAGCCACGAATGATGCTGTGGGAGCTCATTTCGGTCGCCGAGCTGTCCTCGGAACATTGGGAGCCGACGGGTGGTGAAGTGTTCGAGCGCTCTGAGCCATTGGTGTGGACAGTCGACGCCGACGATATCAGGAGTGTGGCCTGTGAGTCGGTGCTATGAGAAGTCCGGTCGTGCGACGGCGGCGACGGTGGGGAGAGGTGTAGTGTCGACAGATTCTGCGTACTCGTGGAAGGTGGGTCGTCGGCTCGCGGCGATGGCGTGGGCATGGGAAGTTCGATGGGCTCCAGATTCGTCTCCTTGATCGAGATGACCATCTTCTGGAGGTCGATGGGGGTGATGTGCTTTGCGTTCCCTCGGCTCTGAGAACTGGCGGTGGATTCGTTGCGTCGCAGTTCCGGGCGAGCCTGGGGAATGTGTGACGTGCGGTGGAATTCGGCGTCGCCCGACGAGACGGAATCGAGGCTGGTCGACAGCGGCGGCACTGCCATGTCGCGAGCGGTCGTCGCCGCCTTCGATTTCGCGTTCGATGGCGAGAGAGTGCGATATGGGCGTGGGGTAGGCACGCTGGTGGTGGTGGTGGGCGACGATGCTTGTCGCTCAGGCGCACAGCAAAAGGTTTCGCGGGTCCACAGTCGCCACGAGAGGTTTTCTAGTCGTTTGCCATGTTCCATGGCATGCGATGTCTTTGAGAATAAAGACCACTGCACGGGGCGTTAGGTTAATATGCTTGCGTTCATTGTTGAATTCGCACGTGGCTTACCATGCCCATGAGATTCTCGACGGAGCGGGTGTCGATTTGGCGCAGATTGGGGATTTCCAAGCTGACGAGCGAATGCTCGGGCCTGAACGGCATGGTGGAGGGGGAAGGCGAAGGCGAAGGCGTCGCGCCCGCGCCAGCGACTGTGCAAGTGAGGAAGTGAGGTGAGGCAGAGGCAGAGGCGGGCGAAAGCGCGGTGCTGTTATGGGCGCAGTCAGGCCGAATGCAGCAGAGTGGTCGACGTCAGGTGCACGCTTGGCCGGACCGACGGAGTACAAAGGTACAACTCATCCGCGATCGCCTCGGCCAGATTGGGGAAATGCCACGGCAGTACAGCAGTAATCACAGTATCGCGGTCGTCGTCGTCGGTCGTCGCCGTGCTGGTCGTCGCGTCGTCGAGTGTTTGCACGCAGCAGGGCAGCGGTGCGGTGCGGTGCGGTGCGGTGCAGCAGAGCAGGGCGGCAGTGGGTGTGTTCAATGACTATGACAGCAACAGCGCGCTGCGCTGCGCCGGCGAGACGGGAAGGTGTGGGTAATAAAGCACGACGTGCAGGTCTGAGCCCGTCTGACGGCTATTCTATGCGCTCGCATGGGACAAGGGGACAGGGGGACAAGGCTTGGGAGTCGGGACAGTACCTTTGGTGCAAACTAACTTCCCTCGGCCCTGCTACCGCGCACCACCACCACTGGGAGATCTCCCCGTTGTATCACTTTTGCATGATGCACTCGCCGAGCCTATCCCGGCTCGCGGCTGTCCAATTCTCGTGCCCTGAATCGCCCTCCCGACCCTGCTCCGAGGCGAGTCGACAAATTATCATCATCATAATGTATCATCTCGTTCTGCTGACGCGCAAAGCCAAGCGGTGCCGTCCGCAGCAGATGAGTCCACGCGTGGGGTGGGCTGTCAGGCCACGGCCCCAAGCCCACGGCCTCCAGAATCCAGATTTCGTGGCTTCACATGTGCAGCAGAACAACGCTGATTCCAACAGCGGGCGGGCGGGCGAGCGACCTCACCTCCTGTTCCGTCACTCTTGTCATCACAGGCCTTCCAAGCCAATCGTGCCTGCACAGCGCGGCCTGCGCGGCCTCCGTCTGCTCTGCTACCTCTCACAAGAATAATACGGGTTATACGGCCTCCTACTGCTTCCCTCCCCTCCCCTCCTATCCGTCCTATTCCTGCTCGGCATTTTCGTCAGCCTGCTGCTGCTGCGTTTGCCAGCGACGTACATCCGCTGCGCTGCCGTGTCCTACACAATCCCGTCTATTCCATTTTCCTAGACAAGTCATCTGCGCACGCCTCACATGCAGCGTCAGCTCCTATCTGATCTACTCCGTGCATCGAGCCCGCAGCATCACTTGGGCGCCATCGTGGCCATCCTTGCATGGCACGGCGTCTCTGCGGCGACGCCCAATCGAGGGAACTGTGGCTGACGACTGCTGCCTTTAGTCTCGGATTGCTCTTTCGAGAAGGTCTTGCCAATGTCCACCTCGAGACGAGGCTGGACAAATACAGCTTTAGAACGTGCAACTCATCAAGTGTTTGTCCCAATCCCACGCCTTTCGAGCAACGCGCTGTGATGCCTCGTCACAGCAATCGCACGCTGCACCAGCCAACGCGCGCGTTTGTTCTGCAACCTGTTGATAGGCTACCTACGCACAAGAAACATCCAATGGCCGACTTGTCACTTTCTGCGGACAGCCTGCGAGTGATGCGGTAGCGACAGCGCATCAAACAATGTCTTACATATGGGAATAAACAACATGACACTTATTAATTTGGAAGTCTGGCCGCGCCTGCAATCATCAACGGGTAGAAGTGAAGGATGCTGTAGTTTTATTAGTATTATTGGTATGCTTGATGTACAGCGGCCGAACGAATCGCACACCTCACACGATGCTCTGGGTGTCACCAGGGTACAGGCACAGCCGCAACTGCACACCCAGGACCGGGCCAGATGTTGCACGGTCTAATCACAGGTTCAGTGACCCGTCCGTTGCAATAATGTGTCTCGTTGTGGAAATCATCGCTGGTCTTTGCAGTGCTTTTGGTCGCTTACCACGCGACTTTGGGGGCAGATGACCGGAATTGATGCGCTGGCAAAGCTGGCGGCAAAGTCATCTGCCTCTTGACCGCTGGTCGCACGCCTTGCAATCCTCCCTCATCCTCCGCCTCTCAGCTCTATCCCTTTGCATGGAAACGTGAGGAGGAGCGTGAAACACTGCTTCCTAGTGCTTCTCCACAGTTCTGTTCTCGACCCATTTTGATCAACGACATCCCTTCATCCTCGCGTCTATCCAGTTTCGCTTACACATTCCCGTGAAAAAAACCGGGGTCGGAAGAGGCGCCCCGGAACGCAGCTAAAGAATAGCTTTGCAAGGACACAGAAGCACCGAGGCGTCACTACTGCGTGACTACTTCACCGTAGAAGTAGATCTTACCATGAGGAGAATCATCAGCACGAGGCGACGAGCATGGTCCTCCTCGTACCCCCGCAATATTAATCGAAAGCACGCACGAGCAATTGGCCAGCAATTCTCGTATTTGATGTCCAGTCATTTCGAAGGGACCTTTCTTGGGCGGATAGCCGGTATGGATGTCCTGGACCGCGACGCAGCGACGCTGCGACGGCGACAGCGACAGCGACACGGGGCAACATCGTCCGTACGCCGGATGGAATAGTACATACATAGAGCAGGCAGCACACGCTGCAGCCCGGCCTCACGAATGCAGATGACCAGATGCCAAGGGGTGTGCCTGTCATGTGGACATGTCGACCCCAGCCGGCTCCGGCGGTGTGGAAAAGCAAGTCCCGCTCTCCACTCTCCACTCTCCACTCTCCGCAAACCCTGCCACGGTGCACCCTGCGTCAGGAGTGCGCCACGAACGATTGCATTCCATCTTCCCCGGCTGCTGTGCTGCGGGAGATCGCAAACGTCTTCGGGATGTGTCGCACAACGGCTTGATGGAAGCCGGCCAGGGATCGGGATGTGTGAACAGAACAGTAACCATACTTGTCATTATAGCAGCCTGCCTCATCATTCAAGGCACAAGTCAGAATTGTTCCTGTAATAATGGCGCCACAGCATCAGACGGTAAGGCAAGGTAAGGTAAAGGTAAGGTAGGACACATTCCATACCACGCTGCCGGAAACGTGCATCCCTTTTTAGCCTAAACCACCCAAGCGCTTGGTCGGTACTTGCTTCCTTCAGCCTTCTAGGCCCTCTGTGCCGTCTGCCGTCTGCATTCGGCCTTGATGATGCGCGCGCATTCTTTTTCCCACAACGATGCGCTGACGGAGTATCGACGTTGCTTCTGCGACGATCCAATCTGACGGAGATGGTCGCTCCGTCCTCCATGGGGCTACTGACTGATCCGGTCTGCGACATCTTCACAAACTATGATATCCCGTGCTGGCCACTTGCAGACGGCCTCTCCCACACGCGTTTATCGCAGACACAAGCAATTACAGTAGTTATTAGCAAGGTCCGGCACACATGCAACGAGCCTCAGATCCCGCATCCTCCAACAACGCCGCTTTCGCATACTTGCATCGCATCACAAACTCGCCAGCATGGAGGCGAAAGGAAGGATCACGCCCGCGCGCGTGGGATGTATCAGTCTCTATCGTTCCTGCACTCGTGGATGTGTCTCCGATGCGGGATTGCAGCCTCGATGCTGCGCGGAAGACGGCTCCGCCGCCAGTGACCGTTTGATCGAGCCGTGGCGTTTCCGGAACTGTTTGCAGTGCCGCTCCCCGTTCGAGACTCCTCCTCCTATACCTGATGATCCTTTGAGTAATGTGACTGGCTGGTTAGGAATGGTGCGTCCAAATTTGAAATCACCATGACTCTGGACGGAAAGGATTCGATCAATGCATCAAGGCCCACGTTTCAAGTAGCAACACATTACCTTGTTAAGGGCGATGCGATCAACAGAAACGGCTTGGGGACCGTTGCGGCATTCGCTCCCCTTTTCCCAGCCCGAGGCGCTGGAACATCGCAGCTGCGCCTGCAGGAAATTGTGCAAACAGTAATCCAAATGCTTTTTGCCACTGACACTTCACGCTGAAGCCTCTGACTGAAAGGAAACAGGAGAGTCCAAATCTTGACGGACACAGGTCTGGAGGCGGAACACGCTATACCATTTCAAGTCACTACCTTCAGGATACTGTCGATGGCCTCTCCATTCTGCGATATGCTTGCCGCGAAACAATCCGTGATCCGTGGTTCACCTATTCTGGGTGGAATTGGTAACCACATAGACTACAGGGGCGGTACTTCCCGTACACTTGACAACAACGCCCTAATAGTCCCCTCCCCCTCGTCCATCTACTGTCAATGCAGACGCCGCTAAGATGTCAACCTGTCTCGCCGCTCCAGATCTTGGGCTGCATTTACTGTCCCATAGTCCTGCTAGATTATTGATGCGGACGGCCACACAGCCGAGCCAAGGTACCAACTGAAACAGCTGTATTGAAAGCTTGATGAACTCACTCTACCAACATCATTGATCATTCCCCAGGAACCCCAGAATTGCTTCCCCGCCTCCACCATCATTTCATCGCGCTGTTTCGTCGCCCTTCATCGGTATCTTGGGTTTTCGATGTGTGAGGACCCAAGTCAAAACACGCTTGGGTCAGTCAGTCAGTCAGGTCCCATCCGCTCTCCTAACGAAAATGGCACAGTCACTTCCCAGCTTGCTCGAGCATGATCGTTAAATTACAAGGCAATCTAGGAGAAACATGTTCCTGCTGTGAGCCACATGCACGTAAGGCAAAACGACAGACATCTCACCAAATTCGTGTGCCGCCGAAGAACCATGATAATCCAGAGCGCAAGCAAGGTTTCTTTCACGGTAACATGCAAAGTCATGTTCGTTGTGCTCTGCTCGTACCTTGCATCGACGCATGACAGGCTGTCAAGTGTATCCAAAGACCTGTGGTTGCACGACACGGCGCTTGCTATGCATGGTATTAGTTATACAACATCACTGCAAGGCATAAGCGGTATGCATGGGAGATTCAAGTCTTCTCTCGCCCTTACGTGGGCCAAGTACCAGGTTGCCGTAACGACGTGCAAGACATCTACCAACGCCCTGCTGGACAAGTCGAACCCATTTTCGACGCACATCCCTATCTCCACCACCACCGCGAGCCCGTCCATTAACCACTCCTTTATGTAATCCACGCCCGCCGGCATAGTTGTTGAATACTAAGTACTCACTAGTCAGCGCCTGTAATCACAATCATAGTTAATAATAAGTGAATAATTAGTATTTATAGTTACGTAATTATATAATTAGTACCTAGTAATACTTAGGGTTAAGAAGGAGATAGATTTACAAGCCGTCGTCGTTGTTGCTAGCACCTAAGACTAAATATAAGGCTAGTAATAGCCCTTCTTCTACCTCTTCTAGTATAGCTAGTTCTAATAGTACCTTAGTAACCCCTATTCTTATCTAGTTCTTCGAGCACTTATTATAAAAAGGGTTGTATTAGTAGGTAGATAGGGTAGTAGTAAATTAGTATAGTATTCGATAGAGAGCTAAGAGGAGAGGGAGGAAGACAGGCAAGTTAGCCTAACGCTAAGCGCTAAGCCCTGCCTAAGGCATTAAGACCCTAGCTTTACTCGAGCCTAGTTATATACTAATTACGTATAACCTCTTTAGTCCTAATATACGCTTCCCTTCTAAAGGCCGCGCCCTCGTAGCTAGTCTTTGTTCTAACCTCTATTGCTACTAACTTAGTAGGTCTAATAAGCTACTCGATTCGCGCTAAATTAAATATACAACTACCGATTATATAACTATATCAAACCTTACCTCTAATATAACACAATGTCTAACTCTAACTGCGCTATCCTTGCATATAATAAAGTAATATATAGCTACGAAAATTGAGGGCCTTCGACTAATTATAATACGAGCGCGTCTTCCCTACTATAATAGGTAGACGTACGAGGTATTATAGCCCTGCCTCCGTTCTAAGTAATATCGTACCGAGTTCTTTGCGTCTACTCTAAAAGACCTAGAAATGTCCGCTCCGAGGGTTTGTCTATTCCGAGGGTTACTCTTATTATTACGAGGGCTATTATTTACTATCGTAGTTTTACTAGCCCTAATTAGTTAGGTTTAGTAGCCTTTAATTGTTAATCTTATCTTATCTTTTAAAAAACACAGCTTGTCTAGTTTCTATAAATAAAGGCTATTATAAGTGCAGTAGTAGAGGTTCGCCTCGCTTAAAGAGTTAGATAGATCGAGGAGTAACCTATTGTCCGTAAGATCGACCCTAGCTAGCTTAGCTCTATAGTTTTGCCCTTAGTTAGTTAGTCTATTAGTCTACTTAATCTTTTAAGCGGCTTAAAGTTTTAACTCGGCCTTAAAGTTCTAATTAAACCTTTAATAGGCTTAAAGCTTTAATTAAAGTTTTGATTAAAGGTGCCTTAGGCTCGTAGTATAGGTAAGGTTGTATCTGCAGGCGCAGCGACAATAGCAAGTAATATTAACAATAGCGGCGCTAGTCGTCTTAGCGCTAACTTTACCTCGCTTCTAATCTCCTCCTTCTACTAATAATACACTCCGTAGCACTGTTACTAATATAGCCGCGCTAGCCGTACTGCCCTTTAGTATAGGCGAGACGCCGTCGTTATTATTATTATTACTATTCTACGCGTACACGTACCGCCCTCGCCGATCGCCTAGGCCTCGAGACCTCGATAGAAGGAAGAAGCAAAAGGGGGCGTTAAAAGGAGGGTCTTATAGGGTACGCTAGTAAAGAGGTAGGTTCCTTAAAAGAGCAGGCGATTAGTTAATAGTTATAGCGCGTTTATTAACGCTCGGTGCGTATCTACTATAGTAGTATAGTCTTATTATCCTTTATTACTAATAATTGCTTGCCTCTAATTAGTTAGCTAATAGCACCCTAGGGGTAGTATTAATCCTAGGCTTAGTAGTAATATTATAGGCATTATAAGCTCTTAGCCTTCTTCGTGTTCTTTACGCTAGTCCAATATTTATCTAACAACTTAGTTATATCCTTAAACGAGTCTTTAGCCTCCTATAAGTCCTATTTAGGTAAATAGCCTTACTATCTTAATAGGTACTCCTTCTTGCCCTACCTAGTCCGATGCTTTAGGATACGTTCTATAGACTATAGCTCTTTACTATTAGCTAAGACTTCTTCTAACTTAGTAGGCGCTTTATCGCCTTTACGCTAGTAGTATAGTTTAAGGAGGGATACGTAGAAGGTATTATAGATAGTGTAATAAGGTAGAAGCTATAACTAATAGGCCTATACGGAGGAGCCCTTAACTTCTCGAATACGGAATAGGCTAATATATCTTAGTACGAGCTTAGGCCTTGTTTTGCTATTAGGGGATAGGTGTTTACGGATACGGAGGTTCTTCGTACTAAGCATAACTATATCGCCTTGCTTAAAGGTTATTAGTATATAGTGTTTGTTATAGTAGGCCTTCTAATAGGCCTAGGCCTTTGCTAGTTTATTAGCTATGTTAGCGTAAATTTCTCGCATCTTCTAAACCCTCTTAATAGCCGCTAGTGTTTTAGGTTGACCTTAACCCGCTTCCCTTTCCTTACGCTCGGCCTCGAGCGACAAGGGGTCTTGTAGTATAGTAGCGTTTTAGCCTATTATAGCGAAATAAGGTAACACCTTAGTAGATAAGTAGACACTGTTATTATATACGAATTCCGCTAGTTGTAGGAGGTTAACCTAGTCGTTAGGGTTCTTATTAATGTAGCTACGTAGGTACTGCTGCAGCGTAGCATTCTGCCTCTCGGTCTAGCTATCTATTTATAGATAGAATGCTATAGACAGGCGATGCTTGAGTCTTAGCTATAGGCATATCTTACTCTAATAGTAAGATATAAATATCGAGCCTCGGTTAGAGACTATCCCCTTAGGGGTTCCCTAATAGCTATAGAAGATGTTATTCTATAGTAACTTAGCTAAGTTAATAGCTGTCTAATCCTTCCTAGTAGGGATGTAACGAGCGCCCTTAGTAAATCGGTCTACGACGACTAGGATAGCGTTAAAGATGTCTTTGCTTCCTCTTCGCTTAGTAGGGGGAAGACCTATAATGAAATCTATTATAAGCTCTATAAATGGCTTCTTTAGAACAGGGAGTAAAGACAACTCGCTAAATAGTAAGTACTTTAGTGCTTTAACTCGCTAGCATACTGCATAGGTCTGCATATACTCCTTTATATACCGCTTACTATTCGGCTAGTAGTATATACGCGATAGTAACTCGTACGACCTCTCTATGCTATAGTAACTAGCGAGTTCACTATTATAGTGCCTCTTTAAAAGCTCTTGTCTAATCGATTGTTTAGCGGGGATATAGTATCTGCCCTTAAACTTTAAGTAACCTTTATCGTCGATCGACTAATTGTTATTACTCTTACTAGATCGGGTCGCCCGCCTACTTACAAGCCTATTAATACGCTCGACAGTAAAGGCGTCCCTCTACTAAGCACGCAATAGCTTATCTATAAACGATTAACTATCCCTATTTGTAAGGTTATTTAATAGCACCCTCGCTATCGAACGAGGTATGCATTATATATATCTAATAGCACTAGCAGCCGGATTAACTACAACCTCTTCTATAGTGCTGTCGCTATAGATAGCAATATCTTTAATCGAGTCGTTATAGCTCGAGCGATCTACGTCCTTTTTAACGTACACTAGAAGAACGACAACTCTACTATAGTATTTGTTGTCGCCGCGGGGTCCGGAAGTCCGCTTATCCTACGCCTACTTTATAGCAAGGTCTATAGCAATCTTATACTACAGGGTTAGAAATAGAGAATTAATATATTAGGTTTCGCTATCGTAATCGGGTCGCCTCGATAGGCTATTAGTAGGGTTACTTACGCCTAGCCGATATAATATATTAAAATCGAACCTAGCGAGGTAGACGGCCTATCTAGCCTGTCGACCTATAACCCTAGTAACCTTCGTAATTCTACGGAGGTTGTTATAGTCCGTATAGACCTAAATAGGATGCTAAGCACTATCGAGATAATAGCGCTAGTACTTAAAGGCTTCTACGATTGCTAGGAGCTCTTACTCGTAGGTCTCGTACCGACGTTCTATATCGATTATCTTCTGTAAAAAGAAGGCAATCGGGTGCTAATAGGTATTATTAGCCTACTATAACATAATAGCTAATATAGCGAACTATAAAGCGTTAGTTTTAATTCGGATCTGCTTGCTTAGTACGAAATAGTGCAATAAGGGGACATTAGTAAAGCGTTGCTTTAGGCCGTTAAAAGCGGCTTGTGCTCTATTAGTCTATTTAAACTCTCTAGTTAGGTTAGCCTTAGTTTTAGTGAGCTTAGTTAGGGGCATTATATGCCGTAAATAGCCCTTAATAAACCGACGGTAGAAGTTAGCAAAACCTAGGAATAATTAAAGCTCTTTAATAGACGTAGGAATAGGCTATTTAGTAATTGTTTTAATCCGGTTAGAATCAGCCTTAACACCCTCGGTTGAAATAAGGAAGCTAAGGAATAACACCTCTTTAGTAGCAAAGGTGCATTTAGAAGGTTTGCAATATAGTCTATAGGCTCGCAGGCGGTCGAGGACCTTACGTACTACGGCCTAGTGTTCTACAATATTAGGTAAATATATATAAACTAGGATGTTATCTAGGTAGACTATATAGAGATAGTCTAATAGACCCGAAAGGGCCCGATTAATATAGGACTAGAATATTATAGGGGCATTAGCTAAGCCGAATAGTATAACTAAGTATTCGAAATAGCTATAGCGAGTACGGAAGGCTGTTTTCTATTCGTCGCCCTTACGAATACAGATACGATAGTACGCATCCTTAATGTCTAGTATAGTATAGTAGTAAGCGCTAGAAAGGCGATCGAGGGTCTTATTAATAAGCGGAAGTGGATAGCGGTCTTTAATAGTAATAGTATTAAGTCTACGATAATCGACGTATAACCGTAGGCTACTATCCTTCTTTAGAACAAATAGGATTAGTACACTAGCAGGGCTATTACTATACCGAATGCGACTGTTAGCTAGGTTTTCCTCTAGGTACTTACGTAATACAGCGAGCTCTCGTTTACTAAGGTTATAGAGGGGACTAAAAGGAACCTCTTTGCCCTCTATAATATTAATCTTATAATCTGTCTCCTTAAACATAGGCAATGTCGATACTAAATAGTGTTTAAACACATTAATATAGGTCTCTCGAATAGGC